AAAAAAAATATCAATAACTGACCGTTAATATATTCCCAATAAAAGCAGTCAATAAAAATGCTGAATACTGCCTCTTAGAATTCCCAGAAACCCCGACATGGGGTGGTTTACATTATGCCAACTCTCGCTTCTCCCACAACCTAGGAACTGCTCCGAATCAGCCATCATCATCACCTTGATCCACCTTGAGGAATGAGGGAAAGGTTGGATTCTGGAGCAGCTTAAAGCAAGGACACCCAGGTGTATAATCACGTCTTATATCAGGCGACATGATGTATTAATGCTGCACCTCCACATAAAGAACAAAGTTTGCCATCGGGGGAGGAGCTGAAGCTTTGACAGCTTTACTTCCTCCACGCTCACACGTCTTTTTTTGGATCTCTAACACATCACAAAGAGGATATGAGAGAGAGGGAGAGAGAGAGATGCAAGTAAATATGTGAGGAGACATTTTAGGATAATGGAATGCTCCCACAGAAAGCATAGGGAACAATGAGGAATTGAGCTTTGTATTCAAATCATGAAGCAGCCAAAATGGATATAATCCTTTAGTGAATATTGTAAAGAGCGGTCTTTAAGTTCTCATACACATCTGCCTCTGCTGTTTGTCTTTTTACTGTGGCAGCTGACCCCTTTGCTTCTCAGACCGGCTCCTTTGTGAATAGGGTGACCTTTGACTTGGGCGGCCTATGCTGCCGTCTGTGCTCCGAGCAAACACCAGCTGCTGTGCTCAGGGAGAAAACTGTGCTCGACAATACATGGCTACTGTCGAGTGTGAAAGACTCTGCAAGGTGTTTCTCACCTCTGTATTGGAGTAGTAGGTGTTCCAGGAGGATCTGAGAGACTCCTGCCCACCTATGTCCCACATTAAAAAGTGGGTGTTCTTCACCACTATTTCTTCCACATTGCTTCCGATGGTGGGAGAAGTATGGACCACCTCGTTCATTAGACTGAATAAAACAGAAATGCAAAGTGGGTTTGTGTTTTTCCAACTTTAAAAGCATTCAGGAAGGAAGGTTCAAACTGAAAAAAGTACTTACAATTGGTAGAGGATAGTGGTTTTCCCTGCATTATCTAGTCCCACAATGATCACCTTGTGCTCTGGAAAACAAAAATAAAAAAACAAAAAAACAACAACTCAGAAATTAATTTGAAAGTATACAGTTTGAAACAAAAACTGGATCAAGCTCACAAAAAGCAATCACACCAAAAAATAAAAACCTCAAAAACTTACTTCCTACCTCATGTCTTCCTGACCTACTTTTCCCAAATAAACAAACAAACCTAGACCTACACTAAACTCCTGTCATTCATATAACAAGCTAGAACATAGAACAACAATGAGGGTTTGAGGCTGGCAAACATGGTGGGCTAAATGCAGAATTGGAGGAACATGTAGATACTAAAATATTTCAGGCCAGTGTTTTAACTTCTTGCCCTTGCGAGGCCTCCGGCTGAGAGGAAGGAAGGAAGTCTGGCCAAAGGGCATCGCAGCTCTGAGGGTTTTGATGAACTACATTGGCTTTCCAAACGTTTTACATGTATATTGCTTGCGGTTTTTCCTGCATATATTAAAAAATAAATAAATAAATATGTTGGCACCCACCAAAGAGGTTTTGGTTTGGCTTTTTTGGTTTTGTTTTTTTTAGAGTTTAATTATCAACAAAAATTCAAATAGATGTCACCACACAGGGAAAAATACGCGTATGATGTCCAGAGAAAGGAAACATTTATTCCTAGAATGCACTAAAGAATTAAAATTCGGCAAAAATAACACAAAGGGATTCATACACCAGGAAGAATCACTTCTTGTGTCTCCAACCACATCTCTAGTAATACAATTACATGGTGATGATGACATAGATTCAACTCCTAGTCTGAGTCCCAACAATTTCACACAAACCACACAGCAGTCTCCTTAAGTAAGTAAAACTTGACACTGGGAATAGTTTAATCCAGAATTGGGTAACAATGAAAGTAGGTATTTGCCATTCTTAGGGCCAGGCAGTAAGTAAGCAATATAACACA